GGTATAAACTTTTATTAATAAATTTGGATTTAATCGGCTGTAATTCGGCAGCCGAATAATCCAATTTGGACTAGTGTCTATCAAGTATTATTCTTCTTAATACTGAGTAGGTATTCATAGCTGCTTGATACCATATGATAAGATATATTGTTTTAAACTTTCTTTTCAATATTAGTCATATGGTTACTGTAAGCAAGCTAACATTTAACTCATTGTACTAACATATAAGAAATGTTGTTTCTTTTACAATATATATCTTGTTATATACAAATCAAATAAAGAAATGATATTTACTTACAAAAAAAAAATAATAAGTAAAATAAGTTTAAAGATTATTAATTAACAAAGAAAAGTATTAAAAAAGTTAATATAATAATTTACAAATTTTATTTAAAAAATAATACTAATAATATAATTATTATAATCAAAAATAAAATTTCAAAATTTCAAAAAAACTTTAAAATATTAAAATATTAAGTTTAATATACTGTATATAATAAATAGAAAATAGTAATTTTTTAATTTGAGTTATTTAATTATAAGTATAGAAATAAACAGATTTTAATATTATATCTTTTGATTAGAAAAGTTATAAAATTAATTAAAAATTAAAAAAATAATAAAAAAAGCAAATTAAATAATATTAGATTGCATATAAAAATTTTATTAATATAATTTTGTTTTTAATAATAAAAAATATTTTAAAATTTATAAGTTTGATATTTAAGATTCTAATAACAGTAAAATCTTTATAATTTTAAAGTTTGATTAAATTTAGACAAGCTTATAAATATAAAATTTTATAAAAAATTATTTAAGAAATAGATTTATTATTAAAGAATATAATATTATTAAGAATATATTTAATTTAAAATAATATAATCTAGTAAATAATTTGTAAGGTTTCAAAAAATACTGAACTGATATTAAATTAGTATCAAAATAATATTAATTTATAATAAATTTAAATATAAAACTGATATTAAAATAGTATTGAAATAATATTGAAATAATATTATTAGAAACTCTAGTATCTTATATAATTATAAAATTATTTCAAATTATTTAAAAGATTATTGTGAAAGTAAAGTTTTAAGCTTTTTTTATAAGTTTGTTTTTTATAAACCTAACAAAGTATTTTTTGACAAATAAATATCTATATATTTAATATTTTTTTATATAGCTTGAAATAGATTTTTTCTTAAAGTCAAAAAAACTCTTTCCCATACACAACATTTTTCTTAAAAATTTTCTTTTATAATAATTTTTTTCAAAATTAAAGAAACAAATATTTTTTTTGTCTTTCAATACTCAAAAGTCCTCTACATCTCTTTTATCTTCATTACAAGAACCTCAAGGAAACCAAAGAAGCACACTGGTGTATTGGAATAGAACCTCTGACCAAAGGAAAACAAGTTTGAAGAGCTTGTTTTTTTTTTGGATTGCATAAAGGAAGGCCTATAACAGTTGCTTCTTTATAAATTTTCCTTGAGGTTTTTTGTATTTTCACTTCTTATTAAATAAACAAATTTTCTGCTTGGATAGCTTCTTTTTTATTCAAAAAATTAAACTCTACCTCAAAATTATCTATGTTATTGGTTTGGGGTACCAACAATATTTACAATATCTACTTTTCAATATTGTTCAGCATATACTGCTGCATCAAAAAAAATCAAAAATTCTCACTCAAAAAATTTCTCACCAAAAACCGCAATCAGCTTACTCCTGTCAATTGATTACCATTTCAAATTCAATCAATCAAATACTACCAAAATTCAAAACAAACTTATATCACCAATATACCATACAATGATCAATATAAACAAAACCACTTTTAGTAATAACAACCAAAACAAAATCACACTATTGACAATCAAACCAATTATCATATCAGCTACTAAATATACTAACACAACAATAACAACTATTATAATAATAAACAACATTATATATATTTTATTATCTATAGTAATCAAAGAGCTAAAAAGATAGGACTATAAGTCTGTCCAATAATTCTCTTGGGGAAATAATTAATTTTTTACTTATAGATTTTACAATGTATTTAACTTAGTTTTAGTCTTAGTAATGCTTAAAAAAATCACATTACTGTTAATCAAACCAATTATTATACCAATTACCAAATATATTAATACAATAACAGCAACAACAACAACAACTACTACTACAGTAAACAATATTATATATACTTTATTGTTTATGATAATCAAAGAGCTAAAGAGATGGGATCACAAGCCTGTTCGGGGGTTCTTTTGGGAAAATAATTAATTTTCTACTTATAGACTTTACAGTTTATTTGACTTAGTTTTAATTTTAGTAATGTTAATGTTTTTTTTCTTTTTTCAATTACTTTATATTCAAAAACAAAAAGACTTCACAAAATTTTCTAAATATATAGGCATAGCCACTATTTAGACATAGCTAGTATATAGTATTGTTTTGAATTTCTTTTTCAATATTAGTTAGATGTGTATGTATAGGTAAGCTAGCATTTAACTTGCTGCTTTATGTATGTAAGAGATATTGTTTCTTTTACAATGTATACCTTGTCATATACAAATTAATTAAAGAAATGATGTTTACATACAGGGAAAACTCCTCCAAAAAAGAAATAGATTTTTTCTTTTCAATAAACTAAAACTGTTTCTTTTTTTATTATTGAATTTCAGATTTATAATAATATTAGTTTTTTTATTGTATTTAATAGAGTTTAAGAATAAAAGGAACAAAAGTATTTGTTGTCTCTTGAAAAAAGTTGAGGTTAGGGTTGATAATCATTGCATACTCTGCCAAATACACATGTCTTTTTGGAGACAAAACAACTTGTCTATTATTACATGGTGTGAGCTATACTGGAACAATTGACTTGCTGTGTTATACTCCAACAATATGATAATAATATTGCATTATACATAAATTATTTTTATTAATAATTAATTAATTAAACTTCTTATTGAAATTATAATTAAATCCGTTGCTTATTACTCTTCGCGTGCTATGTAAAATCATTAGTTTATTTATTTTCCAAAAATATTTGCATCATATTAATTAATTAATAGTATGTATATTCTGCAGTATTTCGAAATTGTTTGTTAAATTTTAATATATTGTATGTACTGTATCTACGGTTTATCAAAAATTTTTTCAATTCTTAATTCAATAATAATCAAACAAAACCGCGTTTACTTTCATTTATATTTGATTTTATTAGAATACAGTAAATCTATTATACGTAATATACACATTCAATTCTATCTGATATTTACAACAAATTTTTTTTTGCATAGCATAGTATGAAATCATAGTATTTTTGAAAAGATTCTTAAGCGCATATCTATGTACTGTACATTATCCTTATAAACAATAATTAATTCTTAATCATAATATCATAAGGTAAATCCTTATTAAAGTGGCTTAACTATAAAAAAAGCTTATAATATTTAGAAATAATAAGAGTTATTGAAATCTAGTGGTGTTGATGAATCATTTAAAAAACTGGAAGTAATTAATTGATTGTCGCCGAAATTATTCGAGGAACTTTCTGTGTTTATTAGGTATTCTAGATTAGAGATTCCGAGTTGGTTATTAAAGACAGTCGTTAAATGAATGTCGTTAATATTAACTAAGGAATCAATGAGCAATTGTTCTTCGATTTGAATTGGTGAATTGATTAAGCTATTAATAACCTGTTCTTCTGTTTGGATTGGTGAGTTGATCAAGCTATCTATGAGCTGTTGTTCTTCGGTATGGATTGACGAATTAATCAAGTTATCGGTAAGCTGCTGTTCTTCGATTTGGATTGGCGAATTGATCAAGCTATCGATGAACTGTTGTTCTGCGGCTTGGATTGGTGAATTGATCAAGCTATCGATGAACTGTTGTTCTTCGGTTTGGATTGG